GCGCGCTTGGAGGGACGCTGCGCGGTGCCGGTGCTGCCTCCTTCAGTGCGATGTGAGAGAGTCGGGGAGAGCATCGCTTGCCGAAGGCTTTAGTTGTTACATGCATCCAATTATCATCTTCTCCAAAATGGATTTTAGTCAGAGCAATTTATTTGGATACATAGAAGACCTGCAGGAACTAACTATTATAGAGAGGCCAGTTCGCAGGAGCCTGAAGGTATACACTTCAAAATACAGTGATGCTCTAAAATCCATTTGAAATCGTGTTTGATTTATCTATGCACAGCTAATTGAATAGGCAGTTTATTTTTTACAGCACCGGGATACTAAAAACTGTTTTCAGTCATTTTGGAATAAACTGTCTTGAATTCTATATACCAGGGGCTTGATATTGTCAGTATAAGAATACTAAGATGGGAAAAAAATTGACTTAGGTCTTTAGATTAACCTATATGTGACTTGTTTATGCTTTAAGTAATAAGTAGTGATAGTGTCTGACATGGAACTGTACTTGTATTGCATTCCATCTTTTCCTGGTGAAAGGTTTATTTGATTGAATTTGAAATGTTGGCTAGAGATTTCAGGGATTAAATTCAAATTACTCATGGAACTGTCCCTGGATATGTTGGGAAGAAGAGGTTGTTTTAAGAAGATTAAATTGATGTAATAGTAAAGCATTGTAAACTCATAATGTGTTTCACGCTTGACAGACACCAGAAGAAATAGAAAGATTGACAGTTGATGAAGAACTCAGTGATATTGAAAGGGCTGTTTATCTACTCAGGTATTTCCTAAAATATTACTATGAAACACTGCTGACCATCATGCTTATGTCCAGCTTTTTTAGTGCTTTACTCTTCACTGCTTTTATTTGCTGTCTTTCAGTAGCAGTTCTTTTTTACTTTCTGCTATGTAAAACATATAGGCAAGAAAAGAACAGGTACCGTATTTTTTTTTTTTTTTAAAATGCATGGAATAGGATACCTGTGTACATGTATAAACATTTCTGAGTTTCTGATATGGCCCTCCCTCAGCAACGCTGCGTTGTACTTCATTTTCTTTTCCCCTGCGGCTGATTTTGCAAGATTCCATGAGTTTTAACATTAATAACACCAATCATTCAGTGATTTGGTATTCACTCTAAGGGAATGTTCGCTCATGAACAGTTACCAGAGACTGATAAAAGAGCTGTTTGAGCATACTGTGTATGTCTGGGTTTTCAGAAGAGAAAACTTGAGAGATCAGTTTTATAGTCCTTAGCAAATACCGTAGAAGGTACTATATTAATACTTCCCTGTGTTCTGGTTTGTCATTTTATGCCTTCCTTCTTGTTCCTTGAAGTATTTATTTGCAGCTACTTGAATAACTTATATTTGACAGTTTAAAGTAAAGATCTTACAACTACTATGTAAAGTCATCTTTGAGAGTACAAATGTTCTGATTTGAGTTGAATTTTTAAACAATACCTAGTAATTGGGGAACCAGCTGCAGCTCCCTCTCAGTTTGCTTATTCTGCTGGTTTAAGTGCTCTTCTGGTTTATGTCTGTCATCAATGTTTAGAGTAGATATTCTCAGTGCCTTAATTTTCTCTTTTTGGGGCATGTGGCATTATTTTTAGGTAAGGAGTGATACTACCTTTGATTCTGAGTTTTGGTGGGGTTTCTTTTTTGTTGGTTTTTTTTTTTTTTTTAAATGTTGAACTTTTATAAATAGTGGGTTTTAAAACTTGCTTTGCTGATAGTTCCTGTAAGGAAAGCAGTCTGTTGACTCTAGGGAAATTCAGAGGAAATAGTTTGTATGTGGTGCATATAATTGCACAGGATGCATATTGCTTTGGGTTTTTACCTCATAGCAATCGGCACAGTTGACTTTCCCGGTGTGGCAGCAAATTTCTTTGCTCTTTTCCTAATTAAAGATCACGTTTCCAGCAGTATATCTTTACTGGATCATTGCCTTGTTAAAGGATGAAAGGTCCCACTTCATATCTTTATCTTACTAATTGGTTTTTAACCTGGCCTTGATCTTCTCCTGACATCTTCATCTGCTTTCTCTCTACTTGAGCAGCTGTTCTGGAGACTTATTTTCCTTGTGATGAAATTTTCACTTTTGCCTCTGCATTGTCCTCATTGCAGAAAGGTAGCTTCAACTCTGCTTGATATACTTTTTGTAAGGCAATCACTTGCTGTGATTGTCCAGGTATGTTAATACAATAATCCAGCGGAAGCTTTTGCTGTTCAGTAGTATATTGCCTTCCCTGTACTGAGTGAAGTATAAGCAGAGTTAAAAAGCTGCCTGTAACACAGACAGTATCCTTTATATAATGTACAAAGGTATGCATTTTTGGCTTGTCTGGCATTTTTTAATCTATTATAATAAAACAACTCTGCCTGTTCCTGTTTGACAGTAATGTCAGTCTGGTCTTTTCATGCCTCATTTTCTCAAACAGATGAATTATTTCCTGACCTTTAGGTTGTCCCTGATGTCGGACTCTCCTTGATGTTATCCAAAAAGACACTGCCTTTCCTGAATATCCCACTATAAAAATTGCTTTGGTGAGATCGAAATGAATTGTTAATGATGTCTGTGTTATGCTCCATTTGGAAAAGATGATGCTACCTCCATATAAATTAAAAAATATGCAAGAACAATAATAGAAAGCAAATCTCACGCCTTAAGTATCTACAAATAGTATCAAAGTACTTAATGTTGTGTCACATTTTCTTTTATATTGCATTTATGTAACCCTAACCTGCAAGTTGAGGAGGATATCTTTATGTTGCTTGTACAGTAGAGCTGACTAATACTGAGTGAAACCTTAGTATGATACAACAAAGCTAATGTTTACTAATTATTTTCTGTGAAAGTCCATGAAGAGCCATCACATTTTAATGGCTTTGCTTCTGAACCAAAAAGCTCAACTAGTTTCTTCTCTTTTTGCATTCTCCTCTCCCTCCAAAACCTGCCCCCAATTTCTCCTCCCCACCATTGAACTTGGATACATATATGCAGAGTTGTTGCATGTTTAGTAGATACTTGCCTTTTCTAGAGTTATGCCTTTACTATTTTCTGAAAGCTTTTAATATTGTATTCTGAAAACAGCTACATTGACATCCTAGTTGGAGAGAATACTACAGCCTTTTACCATCTGAGGTTTTTGGTGCTTGAATAGTGGGGGGGTTTGTTTGTTTTGAGTGTGTGCTTTTTATTTGTTTGGTTGGTTTTTGTTATTTTCCACTGATTCTTGCCATACTGTGATATGAGACTGACTATATGAGAATGTGTCCATTTTCCACCTAGTTTCATCAGTTAGTTCTTTTTTCACCTCTTGTGTTACTTCTCATTTGTCAGTAATACTATGGAGTTTTTTGGCATGCTCTTTTACTACTTGATACTGTAAAAGTTATTTGTTTTGCTCATCTGGTATATGTTGGTATCCATCTTATTTTGAATTTCCACAATGTCTTGTCTGTCTGTATCTAGCCAGGATGTTTTGTCACAGATTTTGTAAATTTCTGTTCATTGTCTTCTTTTATGTATGACGTAAATACACATCTATATATGTTCTTAGCACATGGTGAATACATTGACACATTAATAATGTTTGAGATCTCACTTTCGTAGGGATGTGGCTTCATTTTAATTGGTTTTCTGTTGTTACCTGTCATAATTTGGTTTACATTCTGATGTGCTAATTGTAATTTTGATAATCCTAACAACTCTCTCTCCCTCCCCCTCTCATTTTTAGGCGATGACTTTCCCTTCAGTCTCCCCTCTTCTGCCAGTACTATTCTTCAGGTAACTGTGCAGTGAGGTAGTTTTCAACTAAATCAACTCCTTGATTTGGCTCATCATGTGAATATGGCACCAGTCATGCAAGCAAACATGAGGGGACTTGGTAGCTCTCCTAATGGCTAGAGTCACTTTAAGATGACATAAGCATGGGTGAACTTCAGCTTTAGATCATTGTTGCCCAGAGTGCTCAGTTTTAATTAGGTAACAATGTGCGATTAGACTAAGCAAGTTCTAATTTAATAAGAATGTGATAGCAAATTGGGCCATCATTTGTTGTAGTCTCAATTAACCTTGATTCTGGTTGAGGAATTGGGCTTCCTTAGACAAGGTTGTCAGTGATGTTTGTGAACTTCTCGTTGAAATTAAAAAAGTGTGAGAGACATCTGAGTGTCTAGGATCTATGCTTTTGAGCTTTAGCCCGAGTGCTTGGTGCTTACTGGAGGATCTGACTGGAATCACCGAAGAGTTATATTCTGAATGTGTTTTGCACGTTGCTGGCCCAACAGAAGTACGAAGAGAGCAAAACAGCTTTATGCATCTCAGCCATGTTGATGTCAAGATTGATGGCTTATCATAAAGCCATCAGCAGATTAAGACAAGCTGCCAAACTGCACTGGAGCAACTGGATAGTTTGCATTCCGCTTCAGGGCATTGTGAACTCTATTGGCACAGTGGCAATAAGCAGCTCAGGACAGTAATTTTTATTCCTGCTATGAACTTTTGCCTGTAGTCTTCACTTCCATGTTTGCTGACATTTGATTGATGTCATTACTGATTTTTATTAGTATTACTGTAGCTCACCCTTTTATGGCATACAGCCAATAGCAAAATACCTATTCTTTGCCTGATGCGAACCTGTTTGAATACAAGAATGCTTACTGGCATGCACACTACAGAGTGTTTTGTTTTCTGAGGACTTTTCTGATAGATATCCCTAGGGGGTTTACATCGTTGTGTATACTTTATTATTTTGTGTTCAGCTACTTTTTGTTTATTTGTGCCTGCTTAGTGTTAAAGCTTCCAGGCCTTGACGTTTCTGTCATACGCAAAATAATGGGATAGTAATGAGTTATCAAGGTGGAAGACTGCATTATTCACCCTTTTGGGAACATACTGTACTTTAGTTTGGAGTGATCCTATCTCTCAGTTTAGAAAACAACACAGTCCCCCTCCAAAACATTTAACACCAGTTTTTGAAGACACAATAGATATTTTATCTAGATTGGACAGAATTCAATGCCTATAAACTTAGCATGTCTTTAAACAAAAACAAAAAACAAAAACAGTTGTACTTTTAGGGTCATTCTTGATTAGCTAGAGTGTTACCAAATTCTAAGCATCTTTCCATACAGCGTATGTTGTTAATTGTGTCAATCCCACTACCGTTAAAAAGATTAACTTTTTTTCTTCCAGCTTTTAGCCTTCATCATGTTAGTCTTGGAGATTTTATTTTCTCTGTAGAAACTCACTTTTGAATTTAAATGAAAGTTTTCATTTAAATTTAACTCATTAGCTGATCTTCTAATATAAATATTGTGGCATTTTTCTTGTGCTACATAATCATGAGAACTGGATAGTTTATTTCTTCAGTTGCTTCCCCCTCCCCCCCCCTCTTATTTTGTAAATTGCAAGTTAAGTTTTATAGAAGTTTCCTTCCTGATTCACTTAGTTGAATGGTTAAATTAGTTTCCTGACTTTGTTATGCAAATAGATTAATGTATATGGAATTGATTCTTTCACCTTAAAGTGAAAAGTATACCTGTAGTCTTCTGAAATGATGCTGAGTCACATACTTTTATTAAAATTTAGATTTGTGCAAATACCTGTGTTGATCATATTTGCTGAGTTGGAATGATAGCTGAGGAGCCAGCAGGAAGATGGCAGTGCCAGTCCTCTCACTCTTCTAGTGTTAGTGCAGCTTTTGCCCATGTGCCTGCAGAACACATTGGGGAATTTATCTGAGGGAAACCCTGAAAATAATGGTTAGTTTTA